AATCAAAAAATTTCCATTGCTACTTCATAACTGTAATTTTGCTACTGTTATGAATCGTAATGTAAATAACTGTGTTTTCTGATTGTCTTAGGTGACCCCTGTGAAAGGGTCATTCAACTCCCCAAAGGAGTTGTGATCAACAGATTGAGAACCACTGCTCTAGAGTTTTATTAAACTGGTGCAGCTGAGAGGAGGGCCATAGTTACCATTTAACAGGACCTAAGAACAGAAGGCGTAGCAGCAAGTCAGTTGAAGTGGAGAACTCACCTTCGGAAGCCACCTCTCCCGCTTCGTGGGGTATCCATGTCTGCCAGCCTTTGCAGTTCGGAGGAAGTGTCATCATCAGCTGCTGCAGACTGTGGTCTGCATACAAAGGAACAGAGTTGAGCCAGCTTCTCTCGGTATGACTTGTCTTTTCTCTTAGGGCATGCCTAAACATTCTGTAGTCCCTTCTGAAGATGTCCTAGAGCCAAATGGAGCTTGCTCTATGACTATAAGTCAGAGCTCCAAGGAGATAATAATAGACTCTTGGTTGTTGATGAAATCACCCAGTCTGAGCTGAGAGTGCAGCTCAGGAGGAGAGTGCCTTCCTGGCATGTACAAGACCCTGGGGTTCTATCCTAAGTCTGGCAAAAGAAAGGGGGTGAGATAGAAAGTGGAAAGGATGAAAGAAGGAAAAAGATAAGGAAAAGCAAAATTACCCAACTTCAGTAGACTCACCTGCTAACTGTCCTGCGGTCATCTTTGCCATTGGCCTTGATGGATGGCGGAGGATGATGATTGTGGTTATTAGCTGGAGAGCTCTTCACACCATTGGATTTTTCGGTCATCCTCCATGTATATCCAGGACTCTCACCTGACAAGGCAATAAGTAGTGAGCTCTAGTACCCATAGAGAGCAGGGGAGCTAGCGGTGAGCAGAGTTAGAATAGAACCAGGCCCACTGACATTGTGTAGTTTTGCAATGTTTAGATTTTAAATAACACAGCAGAATGAGGAGTTATAATCATTTTCTTGGCCCTTAGAGCTTGACACTGAAGCTAATGCTGAGTCCCATGGATACATATTGCTATAGCAGTCATTACTTGGGAGATTATGAGGTTTGTTCAAACATGGACAACATGAACAGAAGACATATTTACAAAACAGACTGAGAAAAAAAGCTGAGGAAAGAGCAAGGCAGAAGTGGGAAACAAGGTATCCAGTATCTCTCACCACAGTTGTGAAGATGGGGATCAGAGATCCTCACAGTAGTTTTTCTGTTCTAAGTCTGATCTGTATGCTCCACTAGATGTGAAATGGTTGGCATGCTCCCAGATTTCTCATGGCTTCTACTGCTGGACTTACAGCTACCTCTGACTCCACATCACTGCCGTGAATTCTCAGACCCAAGAGAGTTGTGTAATTCAAGACTCCTGTGATGCAAACTAGGAGTGGGCAGGAAGAGGCTTTCCTTCATACATTGATCTGTCAGCAGTGGGGGAGATGGGACATCCTTCACAGTGGAGGAGCCTATGTATAGGATCCCCAAATTGTCATCACAGAATTCAAAGCTCCATTTGGAAATCAGGAAGTAGGGGGATAACCTTTGTGTTGGCCCCGCCTGACTGAACACGACACCTACCTTCCCCTGAAAATCTTCCTGTTGTTACACAGGAATACTTGTGAGGACATCCACCCCGCAGGATGCACTCTAGGCCATGCCTGAACCCTACCACTTGCCCTCAATGATGACCTCCTTCTACCTTCTTTCACTTCTTCCTTGTCTGAAGCTGTCACCATGGTGACGACAGTCACATCAAGCAGCCTCAGAGATGCTCTCCTGGTGCTCTCTGTGGGAATATGGCATCAGGATGCTAATGAGGACACCTGAGGGAAAGGAACCAGCATCCACAAGTACTTGTTTGGACCCTGGAGGCAGTAGACCATGGAGACTGAAAGTTGCAGTCAATGCAAACAAATCCAAGGCCAGTCACACAGATCAGTTTCAAGGCTGGCTGTGTTGAAGTGCAAGCTTGCAAATCAGGAGACACTGTATCACATGTGTTCCCTGTCTATGCTTCTGAGATTAAAAATTCTCCCCTGAGACTCCCTGCACCTTATTTACGAGGAATAGGCCTTTCTATTATTCTGACTTCCTTGTGATATCACCCAGCCACACATACCCTTTCATCAGAGCTGTTCACTTAGGGGAACAAGAACAGGCAGTGAACAACTGCTTCAGCTCACCCAGTCAGCCAAGTGGTTCTTGCTGGCATACTCGGCAATCAGCTTACATACTCCCAAGGCATTTGTAACCAACAGGTCTCTAATCAGCTTTCACACCCACATTTTCAGTTGCCTGCTAACCAGTTCCTTTGGGGCACCTCTGACCTTCAAAGCACACATAACCACAGCCACATTCGACATATTCACCTATAAATTAGCCACCTTTTCGGTATGCCAGTCTCCTAACAGCGATTTCTTTCTGCCAAGTCACTCAAGTCAGAAACCTGGATTTCACCATAATTGTTTTCTTCTTTGATCACATCCAAGCAACGTCACTCAAGAGTTAATCCCTTCTTCAAATTATCAAGCATCTGTCTTTCAATCCCCCTCTACCAGGACTTCAGTCTCCACTGTTGCTCCCAAACCCTTTTGCAACAGGCCATTCCAGGGTGGCACCCCCTGGAGACTGGCCTGGACACTGTCAAAGTTTAACTAACAAGAAAATTAACCTCTCATGGGGACAAATGCACTCTCATATCATGCATGAACGAAGATGGAAGATGAAGGCAGAGTTTGGAAAAGCTTCAGCTGTGCAAATGGTCCAAGTAGCTGACCAAAGGGAAAACAAGAGTAAGGACAGGTAGAAGGCTTGAGAAAAAGCACAAGATGAAAGTTCCCAGGGAAGACAGATGCCTCAAAGCCAATGCCCAGTTTTAACAGAGAGTCCATGCTTCTGCCCCCTTAGATGAGAGGTGGAATAGAAACTGGGGCAAACAATATTGTCCTTTGAGGGACAACAATAAAAACAGCATAAATTAGTTGTGTTTCAGGAGGTGAGGAGGAGTAGGAGTTGGGGAACAAGAGATAGAGCTGTAACAAACTCTGCAATCTTGGCTGAGAAAAGACAGAAATACAGTGGGAACAGAGGGAGGATATAGGTTTGAGAAAGGTTCTTTTCATGTAATTATTGCTAATTTTTACTTATATGTTATTGTTGTTTGTTTGTTTGTTTGGGTGTTTTGTTTTATTTTATATCAAGGAAATAACAAAGCAAGCATAGCAGTTTTGAGAAGGGATTTAGTTAGAAAATCGATTTTTCTGATTGAGACCAATTCCACTAGAGTAGAGCCCATGAATGGTGGATATGATAAGTGGGGTCAGGTGCCAGAAGAAATGAGATCAAATTTACCAAGTGCATCAGGAAGACTTACTGAGGAACAGTCAAGAAAGAAAATATTAGATGATTTCAATGGGAGTGGGAATATAGTGAGAATCAGTTGAAAGGATTCACTTCTGCAAAACTGCAATATTATAACTTAAGTGGGAGGGAATTCCACCTTCAGGGATGTCAGGCTGACTTGGAGGATGCAAGATTTGAAGCAGGAATAAATAGGAGAATTCAAAGTATTCTAAGTGCAAAACCAATCGTGTCAAGCAAGACAGCAGGCTACATAGTTGCCACAGAGAAAAGAGGTAGATTGGGGACCTTAGGTGAATAGTGGGAAACCCAAGAAAGGGGCCTTTCAAACCTAGAGTAAAGCATGCTAATGCTATTTTCGAAAGAGCTCAGTTTCCATCATAAGGTCCTTCTAGGCCTCTTCTCATCCACTAGCTCACTAGCTGGTAACCAGGATCAAATAGTTAACTAACCTGGCACAATGAATTCCCTGATCCCTGGCTGAAAGTATTTTCAGAGTTTCTTCAGAGTATGCATAGAAATGTAAAAGCCAGAAAGACTATAAGTTCTGGTTCATTGCTCACTGCTGTTCAATTCTCTTATTTACTCATCTATCACACACCAGTCACCCACTGGGAGCCAGTTCCTGGGCTTGATGCTAAAGCTAGGGATGGTAATCTAGCAGAGTCTACAGGAACCTCAAGGTTACTCCCAGATGAAATAAGGAGACAACCAGGAACACAGTCTGTCTTAAAAGTCATTCTCTGTTCATATTCTATTCTGTTTCCAGCAACATATCAATAACCACTCCTTCTCTCCTTGAAATAATAAGTTCTTCTCACCTTACCTCCCTCCCGATTCCTTACCCACTGCTTCCCCTGTTCTTTGAAGAAGTGTCCACCTCCTTACAACAATAAAGCTTCAGTTGTAAGCGCAGTCCTTCACTGGAGCATATATTTTTCTCTCTATCATTCCCTCCACAGTGAGGTGGCTTTTAACCCCTCTGAATGCCAGCAACTTGAAAACCTTTAATACCAGCCCAACCCCTTCTTTGAACTTCAGTTTGATACCCTCACATAGACATTTTGATGTGGAATAGGCGCCTAGGGATTAATATGTCCAGAATTGAGGCCTTGCTCTTCCCCTCCATACACTATCCTCTCATTGTCATTTTCATCTCAGAAAAGAAAAAGTCATACTTATAGTAACTTGTGTCCAAACCCTTTGTGTTTTCACCATTCCTTTCACATTTGTCACACTACACACTCAAAGCAAGCAGGCTCTACATTCAAAACATCACCAGCTCGATATCTCTATCACAATTAAATTAATTCAAGCTACCAATTTTTCTTAGTGCTTGGCATTGTAGTTAATGAATGAGCTTTGGATGGATAACTGATTAATTGTGCCTTCACTCCTTTACTTTTCTAAGCCATCTCTCCCCTTTCATTATTCACTTCAGCTTCTTTTACATTAGATAGGTTAATTTAAAGGAAAATACAACATTATTTATTGGTTAAGATGGAGTAACAGAGATTGAATATATCCTCCAAAATGCAATAACCATACTTAGGGACAAAAGATATGAAATGGTATTTCTCAAGACTTTAAACATTAGGCAACAAAGAGAAGTAATTCTTAGGAGGAAGGAAACAAACAAAGTAAGCCTTGTGATCAACCCTCATTTTCCCTGTGATCTTTTTATCATATAGCATAGAGGGAGAAATGAAAATGGACCTTAATAGATTCCATGAATTGAGGAGACTCCAAAGAGACTAGAACAGCAATGGTGTACACAGCAGAGTATTGGGATAGGAGTGAGCCTCAGAGAGAGAGGGGGAGAGAGGCAGAGACAGAGACAGAGACACAGAGAGAGACAGAGACAGAGAGAACTACAAAGACAGAGAGACACAGAGAGGACATATACGCAAGCTCTGGGAATGTAAATCTGGACCCTGTTGCATATTCAGCTTAGTACATATACCATCCTCCTAAATTCAATATTAGAGGTCTCAGTCTTCAGATGGGGTCTGATGCCACCTATCAGGAACACCTAATTGTTTATGGGGTCTTGATTAGAATATACAGAAGGGCCTTGATCATCAGTGAGGAATGAGTAGTCCCTACACTGAGCAATGTTGTGATCCTACTGAAAACTCATAAAAATATAACCTAAATACATTCAATTCTTCCCAAGCAACTAAAATGCAATCCAGAAAAATCCCCAAAATGTTATTAGAAATATAAAAACAGACAAGAGAGTCAGAGATAGACCCTCTCCCACTGTTAAGAATCCCCCAAAACATCAAGCTAAGAACCATAACATATATGCAGGCCCTGTGCTTGCCACTTCAGTTTTTGTGAGCCCACGTGATACCTGCTTAGTAGATTCTGTGGACCATGTTCTCCTTGTGTTGTCCCTCCCCTTTGATTCTTACTGCTTTTC